GGGATGGGATTTAAATCCTGTCTTGGGCTATCAAGCCCGTCGGGTACTGACGATGGAATTGGTAATAGTTTTATGTGGCTTGATTTCAGATTCGCCGGTGGAGGAGTATCCGGATTGTAAAGTTGATTGATGTGACCTGGGGCTTTTGTTAGACTCAGCCTAGGTGGGTGATGATACCCTCTCTATACCTATGCTGCATATTTGTTTCTGGCATGGTGTCTGCATGGATTTGGTAGACTGTGGTTGATATATGCATCTTGGGATGCGTGCTTTGTGCCTTGTGAACTGTTAGTAGACCATGTTAATATGTACCTGGTTTAACTTGCGTATGATGATAGGATGGTGTGATGTGATGTGGGGATGCCAGGAACTCGGCTAGAGTACGGAACCGTAGCGTCCAGTGGTGAGTAGCCTGGGTCGTGTGTGATTTGGCGATGCCAGGAACTCGGCTGGAGTACGGTGGTACGTAGCGTCCAGTGGTGAGTGGCCTAGGTCGTGTGTGTTTTGGCGATGCCAAGAACTCGGCTGGAGTACGATGATCTGTAGCGTCTAGTGGTAAGTAGACATAGGTCCAATGTTGTGATGTGAATTAATGTGACGTGTTGTGATGTGATGTGATGCGTGGTTAGCGATGTCTTTCAGAATGCAGCTAATGTATTATTAATTGCTATATATGTCAATATGATTTGAACTGTGGCGTGGTGCATAGTCGAAGATGCATAGAGTAGGTATCATCCGTACTCACTGAGTTTCGCGACTCACTTATTATAACTTTTCAGATATAAGTTGGAGATCTCGGGGCGCGTGCCAGGATTGAGACGGTCGTCTGCCACATTCCTTTGATATACGGGCAAGTTCCTTGTTTATCTATTTTGTACTCTAGAGCTCCCTTTATCCCTCAGGCAGGATCCTGGCTGTATAACTGGTGGTTTTGAAATATATATATAAATGTTTTGGGCAGTTTTGGTATCTGTTACAGTAAGGCTAACTAGAGTCGGGACTATAGTGCCAGTCAGCGTTTGGGTTTGGTCGGGCCCTGACAGCTCTGCTCCTACTCAAGGATGTAGGCTATCCAAGCTGATCCTTGTTAAATTTGTGTGTTATTTTGTTATATATTCTCTTTATTTTGAATTGTGTCAGCAACATAAACATTTTCATTATTCAGCTTTCACATCCTCATAGGGGTCCAAAAAAATACTTTGGGATGTGAAAATTCAAAAAATAAAAATAAAAACTAAGAAAATAGAGAGAGAGAGAGAGAGAGATGGGTTTTAAAAAAAAATTATTTAAGAAAGAATAAAAATTGTTGACAAATACATTTTTTAGAAGTTAAAAATGAACCCAAGTGCGGAATTACATTTTGTTTATAAAGCCGGAATATTTCATTGTTTTGGAGAAGACTAGAACTCTACTTTTGATTTTTCTTCAAAGAAGACTATGACTTGGCCCAGAGGGAATACTTTGAACTGAGTCATGGAGAAAATGAAAGAGATAGAGAAAGGAAGCAGACGGTGAACTTGGCTCCGCCGTGGGATTCTTGATATAGAGCTTTTGGCCAACTGAGGTAGTCGTGGAGTTGGTGAGAGTTAAATATTAATGTACTATTTAAAAATCGTAATTTATGCATCTTAATAGTAATATTCAAAAATTAACGGAGAGCAAAAGTTTTAATTTTTTAGATTTTCTTCTTAGTTTCAATTTGGTCCCACAATCACTGGCCCTAATAGTCTTTATCAGTCCGAATTGGAATAAGGAGAATTTTACGGTGTCCTCCCGGCACTGGTACAATCCCCTCTCATAAGGGGTGGGCCCCACTACCGGGCCCCCTGCATTGTGAGGGGGCCCCACTGCCGAGTCCCCCCTTCCCCCCCCCTCACAGAAGGGGGGATTGTACCGGAATGTTCACCTTGGAACAAATATGAAACATTGGGACTCGTGATGCACTTAAAACTACCGGATTGAAACTAAATAAGAATAAAATTGTAGGACTAAATGTGTAATTTATCACCCTTTTCATATTTAAATATTATTTTAAAAAATTAGAATTTTTTAGAAGGAAAGAAAGGGGAAAAGGTATCTTACCTTCCATCATAATTGGTTATGCTAAATCCACCATATGAATAATGTCGTGCTTATAAAAATACAGTTTTGTTATCTTGAAGTGAACCTATTGAACTCAACCAATTTATGTTGAACAGACATGGAAACATACCAGAAGAAAGAGATGGCAACTTGAAACCGACTAATGCACCTGATGGTGAAGAGATATTGTATCTGGAGCAGGAAAGTCAGACATACGACAATATGAAATGGCATGTGATGATGCTCGAGTTTTTCCACTTTCTTAAACAAATTAAGGGCTAGAAACTGCTTGTTGGGTAGTCCATTATATATCTCTAGGCTTTCCGTTGATTGAGAAGTCATTTATGATGGAAGTTCTAAATGACAAAGTATGTTTTATAATCCGTTGTTCAGTATATTTTGGAGCGGCAATGATGAATTGGATTCTTCTATTGTCATTTCTAAAATGAAAAGCCAAAGTAGTAGAATCATCAACTATGAATCTTGAAATCTGCTACGTCAGTGAGGAAACCATATAAGCTACGCTTTTCAACCGAAGGGATGCGCATAACAATGCAATGCAAAGTAATAGAACATAGAACACAAGTACAGCTTAGAAACTTTACAACATAACTCAATTAATTATCCAGCCAAATTCAAATAAATTATATTAGAGAGATATATAATACATTTACCCAACTCTTATCCAACTTTTTTGGACAATGTTACTCTTACTACTGTCACCAATCACTACCTCCAGCTGTCGCCAGCTGCCAACTGTCGCCGTTGGTTGCCTCTAGCCACCGCCAACTGTCATTGACCACCACAATCACAATCAATTGCTAGCTACCAACTGCCGCCACTAGTTGCCTCTAGCCACCGCCAACTGTCGCTACTTCTAACCACCACCAGTCATCGCTAGTCATCGCCCTACCTCCAACCACCGTCAACTACCATTGATTGCCACCTTTGGCCACTACCAACCGCCGCTAACTGTCACCTCCAGCCACCGCCAACCAATACCACTAGTTGCTTCTGGCCATTGCCAACCTCCAATGTCCGCCATTACCAACTACTAACGGCCGTTAAGACTAAAAGGGTCATTTTGATCATTTATATATCTATTCAATGTTTTATCTAAATTTAATTCAAATATATCAAAAGAGATAATTGCCTATAATACTATACAATCAGGATATTTTGTTTAAAAAGTATCATGTCCTGCCTTATCTTATTTGACATATCAAATGATACCTAAGGGAATAAGGCTTTTTACTGGAGAAATTTACTGCAATATTAATATGCTAAAGAAAATTTACACCAATACAGTTTTAGTTAAAGATTAAGTTAAGCACGCTTGCTTCCATATGGAGTTATGAAATAATGGATAAGATGCATTATTATTGTTACTAGGAAATTTCATTTACTGGCGGAGCTATGTTAGTTCGAGTGTGGACACGTGCCGCCTTCAAAATTTGCAAAGAAGAGTTTATATTATAAATTTTTTATAGAATGCCCCTTAACTTTTAATTTTACACCTATTGAAAAAACTTATATGAATAAATCAGAAACTAACATATAAAAATTTTAAATAAATCTAAATTTGGATGAGGTAATTAAAAGTTTAAATTAAAAGGAAAATAATGTTAAAGAACTATTTTAATATGATACATGAATTTTCAAAAATCAAAATGTAAAACTATGAAAACTATTACATCAAAATAGTAAACGGCATATTATTTATCTGCTTCCTCGTGCAACCCATCAATGTCTAACCATAAGAAGTGTTCTTCTATTCTACATTGATCGGCCCTTTGTTGATTAATTGTTCACTGATTACTATTCTGAATCTCTCTACTCACTTTCTTATCTGAACCTCTAGTCACTAACACATAATTCATCTTTTGTGACGGCTTTTTTGCGATTGCAAAAACAGTAGGAGCTCGTTGATGATCAGAAACTTTTTGCAGCAACTGCCTTTTTAGATGCAACTACCTCTGCAAAAACAGTGAGGAGTTGCAATGGGCTCTATAATGGTGAAATATGGAAGCGCAACGTACAGCGAAAGGCAAAACAAGAAAGCACTTTGCCATTGTGCACCCACTGCCTTAGGTTTCTAACTTTGCCACGATTATAATCATTTTAATCAATTAATATTGTACAATTTTATTCTAAATTCCATGCCTATTTCCTTTTCTTCAGGAGGAAATATAAAAGGTGAATTAGAATTTTCTTAGGAGGTAGAAATCCAACTTTGAATTACAGAAAGTTCCCCAGTTTCCTTCCACCTTTAGACAACACTCTAAATAGATCGAGATTATGTTTATAACATGTCCCCATCCATACCTGATCAATGACATCCAGACTTGGACCCAATGCCAATCCAATTATTTATTCCACTTGTAATTTTTTTATAATTTTTAGGATAAACATAATTAAGTACGTCCAAATCTAAATTTAAGCTCTGTCAACTAGGAATAAATTTTTGTGAATTGGATTCGACATTTTGCAAGGCAGGTTTAAGATCCATAGATCCAAATCTAAGCAGTTTGGGCGGCCCATATAAGATCCGAATCAACCATTGACAGCCCCACTGAGCTGCGTGGAAACAAAACAGCTAATTGTCAGATTCTTCTCTCCTATGTTGGAGTGGACTCTCATGGAAGACAATAATGCAAGTTTGGTTGCGAATCAGGATAAGGTCCCTTCTCTGTAAACAAATTCTGCCCTTCCAGTGAACGTTACGAAAAACAAAACATAGTTTCTTTTCATGTTTTTTGGAAACCATTGTCGACAGCAATATCTTGGGTAATACATGTATTTACATCAAAGAGCCTCCTAAATTTAACATCCAACTCAGGAAAAGATTGAAAGAACAAAAAATCGTAAACGGAAATGGCCAACAGAAGCCACGCATTAACTCTGTTTTTCATAAATAATCACCTGCCTTCCAAAATAGATTCAGACCAAGACATGGACATGGAGGAAGAGACTGCCTCTCTTATTTGTTTAAATGTTGGGTGTGACTCATTTCCCACAGTTGGTGGATTAGACTCCATGTTTGCAAGCAAGTACATGTCCATGTTCTCACACTCACTCTCATCACCCTCATTCTTTCCTTCTAAAACCTTCACTACTTGTCTCATGGTGGGCCGGGCATTCGGATCTGGATGTGCACACAACAGGCCCAATTGCACCACTCTCTCTACCTCTTCTTCATTAATCCCTCCTCTAGCCCTCAGTCTCTCATCAAGGGCTAGAATTAGCCGTCCTCTCCCATTTAGCTCCCACACCCAATCAACCAAATTAGGCCTCCCTTCCTCAATGGGCCTCCTCCCACACATCACCTCCAAGATCAAGATCCCAAATCCAAAAACATCAGTGTGAGTTGAGGCCCGGCCGCTCCTGATCACCTCAGGCGCCAAATACCCCACCGTCCCCACCACCCTTGTCGTCCTTGCCGCTTGTCCGTGCCAGTGGATTCGGGCTAGCCCAAAGTCCCCCAACCTTCCATTCATTTCTCTGTCTAGTAGAACGTTGCTTGCCTTAATGTCCCTATGTAATACCTTGGCCTCCCATCCCTCATGAAGGTACAGGACCCCTAAAGCCACATCCTTCAAGATTCTTATTCTGTCTTCACAGCTTAACATGGTGCTCTCTTCACACTCGTATACTCTCTTGTCCAAACTCCCATTCTCCATGTAGTCATAGACCAAGATCAAGCTGCCTTTCTCCTTCTTGCACCATCCTCTCATACCCACCAAATTCCTGTGCTTTACCCTTCCAAGGCTTGAGATTTCGGCCAGGAACTCTCTCATTCCTTCATTGCTCTCGTGCGAAATGCACTTCACTGCCACCTCTGCCCCTCCGGGCGTTATTCCTTTGTAGACCTTCCCATTCCCTCCAATCCCAATCACATTCTCTTCACAAAATCCCCTTGTTGCTGCCTCAATTTCACGGAAACTAATTCGGTGAGGCCAGTACTCTAATTCCCACTCCTCCATCTCCCCTCTCTCCCTTTCTCTTCTCCTCTTGTTCTTCACCAAAAGCAGATAAACAACTGAACAAGTAATGATAACAAAGAAAACCCCCACTACCATACCTGCAGTAAATCCTTTTGATCGAAAAATCGAATTCTTGGGTGGCTCGAAAGATGGCAAATTAGTAGTAACCAACCTCTCACTTAGCAAAAAATTCGAATTACTAAAGCTCCAACCCAAAATCCGGTGGCTTTCAACCAACTGACCGGTGGATGCAGTGAACCCAACATACATTTCATTCTCAAAAACCTCAGAGAGATTCAAATGAACACTCAGCAAAGGAAATCTAGGCCTCTCTTTCCCTGCCACCGCCATGGTCACATTAATTCTAAAATCAGCATAATCAATCCAAGCCTGATAATTCTTCCCATTATTCAGCTTCAACCTCTTGAACGACTTCTCACTATTCCCATAATACCCTGCCTCGTGGGCACTTATGGAAGTCAATGAATTCACATTAATCCCGACATGGTTGTCGTTTATGTCACTAAATTCTTCATTCTTAAACACATCAAACTCAATTCCCACGACATGGTTGCTTTGTTTTCCGTTGTTGGTGAAGTTGAGGAAGCCCAAGTGCTGGGCCGAGTCTGCCGCTTCAATCCCTCTGTAGGGCACAAAGAGGAAGACTATGCCATGGCCAGGAAGGTATTTACTGCTAACGTCTGGAGCCATAGAGAAGATGAAGGAGGTGGAAAAGGGGAGAGGTGAAGATGAATTTGGGGATCTTGTGGGGATTTTTACTGGGTACAAAGCCCGGCCTATTGAGAAGTTTTTGGTGTCGGTGAGAGTTAGGGTTCCGCCAGAATCAATGGTGGCGATTCCGTAGAGGGAGATGTTCGAAGAACGGAAGGTGTTGAATAGAAAGTCGAGTGCTGAACCGGGTTGCAGAAAGAGAGCGATGGAGAGGAGAACGAAAAAGAAAGGCGGGTTGGGGTGTTTCCTCATCGCCGGAGAGATGAAACCGAGGTGGGAAGAAGAGGGTACGAGGACCACAGATGATGAGTGACTACTTCGAGGTTGAAACCCAAAGGATAACTAAAAAGTAAAAAGAAAAATATTATTGTCAGCACGGGGGACGGACGAACTTAAAGATATTCTACGGTCAACAAGTTCGGCTCCTGTTCTTCTTACCACGTTGTCAACGCGAAAAAAAAAAACGCAAAAGTGAATCTAGCCATTGAAATTAAAATTAAGGGTTATATTTATTTTTTTATTTAAAAATATAATATTTATATTTTTAAATTTAATATATATTTTTGTAAAATTTTTTGTTTAATTTTTACTATTTTTAATTATTTATAAAAACAAATTTTTTATTAAAAGAAATTGGACAAAATTTACACTTTTTTAAAGATATAGACAATTTTATAATTTCATAGTTTAATAAAAATAATTTATAATTGAAATAATTATGTTATTAAGTACTTGAGTCATTATGGACTGCTTATTGCTCTTTCTCGTGTTTGAATTGAAATAAAATTTATATTATAAATTTAAAAATATAGTTACTTTCTATATTTTATCAATCAAATCTTAAATTAATTATACAAAACTTTAAAATTAATATTTATAAAAAAAAAAACCCTTTAAAAATTCTAGCATTTCTTTCCATAAATCAAATTTATCCCCAAAGTTAGCTGTATTTTTTAAAAATTGTAATTTTGTCTATTCTTTTTTAATAACAAATTTACCCTTGTTAAGTAAATGAAGAATAAATGAAAATTAATTAGAAAAATTATACCAGAATATATATTAAATTTTAGAAATATAAATATTATATTTTAATTTAAGAATATATATTAAACTTTAGAGATATAAACATTATATTTTCAATTTCAGATATTAATATGGCACTTAATTTGAACGCAAACAACCAATAATGAGATTTACTCAAAATGTAAATAACACTACGATTATTTTATATTTGCTCGAAGGATAATTAACCTAATTTTTGTTTTGAAAATTTAAAGGTTCAATTTAACAATATTAAAAAAAACAAAAACAACCTTATTAAATTTATTTTAATTAAATTTAGTTTTAAATTTTATTTTTATATATTTACTTAAATATATAATCAAATAATTAAAATTATTTTATCTAAATTTACTTTCTTCAAATTAATTTGTTTGAATTTATTTTTAGAATTTTATCTTTTCCAAATTTAACAGAATGTCTCGACTCAAAAATTCAAATCTGTAACTAGCGCTAGGATTGAAATGGATTCCATTTCAACAAGTATACAAAAATCATGTTGTAATAACCTAAAAAAAAAGGGTGAAAAGATGCATAGGTGTCCAGAGGCTTCCTCCCCCTTTTTTCCCACTTTCTTTTCTTCTTTCTTTTTCATTGTCTTTTCCCCTCTCTCTCTCTCTCTCTCTCTCTCTCTCTCCTCTCTCTCCCCCTTTTTCCCTCTCTAATCAATCTCCATTTTCTCTTTTCGTCCTTCACTATAACTGCTCTAGCCATCTAAATCAATACCCTCCAACCACGCTCGGAACCCGACTAGTGGTGAATTGCTTGGAGCCACTTGGAACCGACCCACCCAAAGTCTAGCCCGAACCTGCACCATTCAAGCCGCTTGGAACCTGAACAGCTCGAGCCGCCCGAAAATAATCAGGCCCAAGCAGCTCAACCCTGTGTCATTTTGACCCAAGACGCACAACTTTGAGCCGAGCCACTAGGAACCCAATCTGCTCGAGTCGTCCAGAGCTGACTCGTCTAAGCTGCCCAGAACCGACTACCCAAATCTCACTTACGCCACTTGACACGAGCTGTACAGCTTTTGTCATGCCCCAACCCGGGCGCGTGACCGGTACTGGGATTGGCGTACCAACCCAGTAAGCCTCTGACCAAATAAAACGGATAAACTATGTCATCAGAAAATCCTATATACATATATACCACAAAACGTATTTGACTGTACACGGAGCGTCCAGAATACAAAAAGTAAATATACAAGAAGTGCCCGTACAATCAGGTCGATGCAGCGGTGACAGAAGCGTCGCAAGAACTACCGCTGCTAGTCAAAACTAGAATCTGAAAGGTGGGGAGGAAAAAGGGATGAGTATAACTCAGTAAATGACAGTACTAACTGGGCATACAATGACAGAAACTCAGATCATTCAAATACATGTTACCACACAAGTAACAGCACAGTTTCAGAAATCACATTTCTTAACTTAGTATATATAGTTTCAAATGCCCAATCATAACCAGAAAATCAGAATCAAATCAGAATATCGGAACATAATACAAAACACATAACACATAACAAATTTAGAAGCCACATGTGGATACAGGACACCTCCCGTACGCTACGGCAGCCACTATCTGGACCCAGGGCACTCCCCGCACAGTATAGGGGCCCACCATCCGCCGGCTAAGTACCTGGTATCCCAGAATCAAAATCAAAGTCACAAATGGACCCAAGCGCTTCTCGTACGACAGTGGCCAACTGCCCGACGGCAGAGCCCCTAACATCCAAAATCAGAATTAGAGTCACTGAATACAGATATCGCACTGGATCCCATGCCAGAGTCAGAGCCAGAATCAGAGCCTGAGTCAGAATCAGAATCACCATAATGCCCCAGGGCACTCCCCAACGCCACAGCATCCCACCGTCCGGACTCAAGGCACTCCCCGCACAGTACAACAGTCGACCGTCCGATTGCCGAGTCCCTGGCACCCCTGAACAGAGCCAGAGTCGAAACCGAAAAACCGAATCGCACACACATATTCGTGGCAGATATAGAAAAATAAAAGACATGTAGCATTGAGGCAGATATACACGTCTAATTGCAGACATAATTCCAGGGTATCAGACTCTAAAACAGACAAATAACAAGTGCCGAATATAATAACTGTGTTCAGAATTCGAATGCAGAGATTAACAGAAAAATCATGATGCAAACACATACACAGAGAGTACTGTCACTCACCGGACACGTCAAAACCGAATACTGGATCTCAAGCAGACGATCAAGGATCGAAACGAACCTCCCCGGAGTATCTAAATCATCAACCATGAGTCAGAACAAAAACTGAGGTTACTCCCAAAACTCACTCATCAAAGTGACCCGGGTCTCTGCCCTTAGGTCCGGACTCTCGTACCCATATTGAGACACCACTGACCCACATCAAAACCCTTCAACCCACTAACAGTCACTACTCTACTTATTAATCCTCAAATTGCCTAAACTTGCCTTCACAATCCTCGAACTATAACGAACCGATCTCTGGAACGCTCGAACCGGTCTACCCAGTTCAAACTATCTCTAATCATCTCAATTGGCCACGAGACCCTCAAAATTGGATTCAGAACACCAAAACCTTAGGACCATATTAACCTTGGCCAAAAACCTCTAAAGTTTAGGCCAAACCGGGCCAAAAACACTAATCTAGAACATCGACACGCAAACCGAGGCTGATTCACCTTGAATCGGACACCCAAAATTCTCCGAACCCACTTGGTTTAGATAGGTATTTTCTTCCTAATCCAGAACCGTCTAACTTCCCAAATACGAGTCCGTTTGACCACTGAACCGACCGGTCAAATATTGAACCGGTTTCGGCCGATTCAGTCAACTCTCCAAAACCTAATCCCAGAAATCCAGTTTATGCTATCCTCACTATCTCCCAAATCAGCCTTATCCCTAATTTCCTATCCCTCCAGAACAACTTACCCCTAATTTTTACACCCGGGTTGACTTGCTGATCAACCCAGACAACCTTCTGCTGGGCTGAGTCAACCCGCGGGTTGACCCAGCCCAGTCTGGCCCGCGGGCCAACCCGTGGGCTGCAACCCAGACGGGCCAAGCTGGGGCCCAAACGGCCCGGCCCACCCAAAATAGGACCCAGATCACTCCGGGTCTTGTCTCATTCGCCCGGCATCGGGACCCCAGCCCCAGATCGCACCCCCTTCCCCTCTGGGTTGGCCCGTGGCTCAAGCCCGTGGGCCAGAAACTCGGACAGGCCGAGCCTGAGCCCACGGCTTGGGCCGACCTCCATACGGGACCTAGCTCAGTTGGGTCCCTTCCTTATCGCCTTACTAGGCGCCGAACCAGCTTATCCAGGTCTGTAGCAGACCCGATCCTCAAAACTCCAATAAAACAAAGCAATTCCCGTACCTGGCTCAAATAAAGACCAAGACCTCCAAAATCGGATCCCACGAGCTCCACAAAGCTGTTCAATCGAAGAAAAATGAACCATTCGCCTTCAGCTGCCAGAAATTCGACCCACACTGGAACAGCCGTCCGAACCCAAAAACCTCCTAATTCTCTCCCTTCTCTCCCGAAACCTCTAAATTGATCGAGGGTTCACTAGGTTTCTAAAAATGCATGCAACGGTGCAAGAATCCACGAAAATAATCATCATAAGACCGGTCAAATTGGCAAAAACTGCCGTTCGGTCACTGTTCATGTCGAATTTCTGATTAATCTCAATTTGTCCCCAAATTTAATACTTTCTACAATCCAGTCCTCCCTATTTCTATTATGTTCAATTGAGTCCGAAATTTTCAAATTCACTCCCCAATTGTTTCAATTGATGCAAAATAGTCCTACAGAAAAACAAGAACTAATCAGTCCTTCAGCTTTGTGCTGCCCAACTGAACGCCAATTGTCGGGTGCCATGTGCTGTCGTCTGATTTGTCAGTCGCCCCCAATTTCTTAAGCCTCAGATAACCGGTCAGAAACACCTAGCAAACGCCAATTCC